AGGTAATACCAGAGGTAATATATATATATATATATCATCTATGTGGAGTTATGTACTCTATAACAGTAATAAAACCTGTATACAGAATCAATGATTTTCTGTAGACCATTGTAAAGTTATTTTAATTTACAGTATTGCTATATTTCTCGTGATTGTACCTTTTTGCATAGCGGTAGTGGGTAAAGCTACTAGCCTGAAATAAATCATAAGTTATTTGCCATTGGTTTCACTCACAATCCCTGACGTGCTAATTTTTCCGTAAAAAATTATACTAACCTAAAAAAAACATAAAATTACAAATTACAAAATCAATTGTTTTGCGAAACATCACAAAAGTTAAACATTCTGTATACATTACTAGTGTGTGTGAAGCAATCATTGCTAAATATGACAACCAAATTACCTAATTTAATACTAATTCATACTATGTTTGTTTACCGAGATGTCTTTCCAGTGGCGTTACGCTAAGAATAAAAATAACAGTAAAGCCTGTTTAAACAATCAGTAGAAAAGCTGGAATCGGCTACAATGCCAATAAAAATGTTTACACTGTAAATAAAAATTGGGTGAAAAGCGATTCGGGTCGCAGTCAATGGATAAAGGGGTGAGGGGGGAGGGGCATGACGCCACAAAGAATTTTAGGGTCGGCTGAAATGTCCGTTTCAACAGTTGCTTGATTCTGTTTTGCTTCTTGCAATTAAAAACTGGCACTTCCCACTAGTTTACTTTGTTTTCATGTAAGGTGGCTTTATCACATTTTTATATGTCAGGGAAAGTATTTTTTGTTGTTGCAATTCTACTAACGTGTTTTGACTTAATATCATTTTTCACCTATGCACCGAATTCTTTACAACCGTTTCATTTCTGTTAAATCTAGTTGTTATTTATACTTTATATTTCAATTCTTTTAGTTATAAAATATGAATTCAGGCAGGATACAATAGAATAGATGGATTCAAGTAACCTAGGTATTAAATCAACACCAGGGAAAACCTAAATCAGGTTTATTTTAAAATTAAAATACGAGTGATTTTGTTTTAGTTATTGTCTTTACCTTTATCCCTGCTGTTAAATGTTTATCCCGTGCTGATAAATTGTCCCCGGGTCTATATCTTACCATGAGACCTACGGTAATAGCGTTGACTGTTCACGCATTCATCTTATAAATGCTGTGTCCATATTTGTTTTTGTATTAATACTTGAGCTATTAAAATAATCTTAAGTTCAAACAATTGGTATGATAACTTTTTAATTTTAATTCCTAGTTTGTTATACCGTCAGAGTTAAATGACTAACAAAAACGTGAGGTTTCAAATATGTTTTTTAACTGGGCTCATAAACCTTACTCCAGAATTTAGGAAGTTGGTACGAACATTTTCTGATATAGTTACTACTTCCTGAATGGCTCCAAAAAAGGATAATTTTATCTCAGAAATAATGAATTTAGATGATCGATTTTTACTTTCTAGCCAAACATGAAATTTACTGTAATATTATATTAGGTTTTTATTTTTGTGCCCTGTCGCCACCGGTAAACTCTGCAACACTGTAGTTGTCAGCTCTTAATCTGTGGCCTCCCTCAAAAAAAGGAATACAAAAGAGATAAGTTTTATTCTGTTCTATAATTTACATAATATTAAGATTTGGTGTATTTTTATCAGTTGTTGTTCCATCAATTTGAGTTGTCAAAAGTACAAAAGTGTGACTTATACCCTGTAACAGATTAGTTCTTCTACAAATAATAGTTTAAAGGAAAATTGCTTAGGTTTTTTGTAACGTTAAGAAGAATAATCCAACTATACTTGCATATAGCAAATCTTGCTGGTGTTTTGATTTTTAATATTTAATAACTGCTTATGCTGGTTTAATTTGCATGTTATATTGTAATTTGATAGTCTCTTAGCGTGCCTGCAACATTAGCGTCATTTACTTTTACATCTACCAAAAATCAAAGCTACGATTCAGATGTACTTTTTTGTCCTAGGAAGCTAGGCACGAGCCTGGGATTGTTTTTCACATTACATCAGGCTAGACCTAGGGGTTGCGGCATCATCACTTAGATGAAATCTAATTGTGACTTGGCTGGGATCGCCCGCGCTCTAACCACTACCACAGAAAATATACTACTATTAAAATTGAACTATTATTATTAGGTAATAGTAGTATATTTTCTGTGCCACTACGCCAGCTCGCTCCCCATCTACTTAGTTGCCCCAGATGTACTGTGTACTGCTGTTTTATAATGGAATTGACTACTAAACTAATGAAGTTGATGAAGTATCCATATCCTTATAAGGATACTAACCCATCTGAATGAGGATTGGATGGTCATCGCGAAATGTTAATACAGTAAATATAAACGTATTGACAATAATGGTGTATGTTAAGCAATATAAGTGTATAAACCGTTATTTTAGAAAATTCAAAAACGAAATCGTCAATATATTAGATTGGCAATTTGTTGTAAAACTATAGCAAGTTTGTAAATAACAAATTCCGTTTTCTAAAACTTAGAATTATATCCAATTTAAGTGGGCCGATACAAACGAAAGTTTAACAACCTAATAAAATGTTAAAATTAACTAAATGTCATACAACGACTTTTCAAAGCTTGTAAAGTTACTGACCTCTCGTCCTTTCCTGCTATAAGCTAATAAACTTTGAATGTGCTAATGTCTACAAACCTAGTATTCTAATTCAGAAAACACGTTAAACGGAAATTTCTTTTAAATAAAGGTATGAACAAATAAACACGTCTATTGAAGGACATGTTAACTCAATTTACAGACAAAGTTCAATTGATCTTTCATCGTAAATCGTCGTCAACTTGAATGACTTTGAAATACTAATTATGAGTTTTATTTCCTTAGTCAATAGTTTGGGGTAGTTCTGATAAGAAATAACAGAAATATATTAGACTGGCCAGAGGAAGATGATAAGGGGAATGTAGGGTAGGTCAGGTCGTCAGTAAGATCGGTGAGGCTGGTTCATTTCGTCCCCTCATACCTTGTGGCCCCTTGGTACATTGAAATGTATACACAAACTTCTCTCGTCTCTTATTAAATGTATTTACGTTCTGAATCGTGTGAAGAAAATCGTTGGTTGAGTTATGACTCCGTGTATTAAATAGTGATGTTATCATTACTTAATTCGAAGATTAGTTGACATAGAAGATATTTTCGCTTGTTATTGTGACGATTTTAGTGAACCGATTGTTGATATGAGTTCTCGGTTGCGCTTGTTCGTATTTAGAATTGCCATTTTCATGTAGGTTGATTTGTAATAAGATATTTATCGGATAATTGTATGTCATATTTGGCTATTATACATATGGAAATCCGTTTATATTTTAAAATATGTTGTATAAATTTCAACAAATTGAACATTGAACGTTAGGTTGTGTAAAGACGTTCTCATTATAGGTTGCTTTCTATCCTTTAAATTACAATCCATACGGACGAAGCATACTATAAAAAAATCATCAAACCTTTATATTTAACCGCAGATTATTTTAGTTTATAATTTACACCCGATAAACTCTTGTTTTCAAAGTTACTTAGTTTTGTTACGTAATAGCTACGTCATCTAATAGATTATTTTGGACATTTCCATCATGAGAGTAAAAATTCAAAGTGATCATGGCTATGCTGGGTTTGTATATTATTCTTGTACAGTAATGTGTCTTACCTAATGAAGTAGTGACAATTTTGTTATTTACTATCGTGACGATAATGTCCACTGTAGTCTAATATAAAATGTAAACTCTCCATCGTCAAATGTGAAATTTAAACAGAGAACTAACAGGCTACACGCTATAAGAGGCGTTCCAACATGGTTCTAACCTTATCAACGAGTGAGACAGGTTTTTGAATAAAGAGTAAATATAGTAACCCCCTCAATTAATATTAGGTACAAACTCTTAGGTGAATACTCGTACACACCCGTTGTATATTAACTATATCGGAATAAAAATGATCGACAAATGTGGAGCTATGTATCCAATTATGTAATTTTGCCAATTGAGGTTAGTATTTCATTTGGGTAGTAAATTAAATTAAGTGAAGGTAATCCAATGAGAGTGTAATGAGAATTTGTTTTAATGTGGGTGACAGTTATAAGGATGTAAAGTCCATGATTATAAGAATCGATTATAACGTATTATAATCTAATGAGAAACTCTTGGCAAAATTTAAGTTTAACTAGCTGCTGAACCTTTGAAGCCGCAACAGGGAGAAAATTCAGTGAGATGAATGTAGCCCCTTCATATCATAAAGCATCTTAATCGTAAAACTATCTAACAAATATTAGAAAATCAAACAATGTATTGAATTATATTAAATCTTGGATTTTATAACGAATTAAAAATAAACGTTTAACACAAGTATTATTTTGATTTGAAATATTTGAACTCAACTGGATTATCTTACTGCAAATCACTTGAAAAATGTAAATGCCGCAGTCGGCTGCAAAGTAGTTGAAAATCAAATTGTATTAGCTACTGTCGTTTTTTATTATATAAATCGTCGGCCACCCGCTTACCTGTGAATAGACACATGGTCTGATAAAAAGTAACAATTTTGCAATTTTGTAATCTTTATCTAAATGCATAATTCTGTCAAAGATGTTGAATGTTTGTGAATTTTTATTTAAACTAAATTGTGTCATACCAAAAACGAATTCAAAATGTTCGCAGCGTCAGCTAACACTTCTTAAAAATTAAATTTTTAAAACCCGAAACAAAATTAAATTGATGGCTTCGACATTCCTTTCCATTCCAAACTATTCCTTTAACAGAAGAATCGTGTGAATAAATCAAGTGGTTGATTCAGGAACATTTGGCACAAAACCCATTTTAAGCTGCAATTCGTACATAAATGATAATTTTACGAGCAATAAGGTTTCTTAAGATATAACTACAAAATAAATATTAATTATATTTTGTGTTACGCTTTACTGTGCTGTACAACTTGTAAGATAAACACTTTTCGTTTTTTTTTCAGAAGGAATGCTGCAAAAACGGGAAAATGAATTTACTATCTTCCAAAAAGATCACATCGCCAATATTTATAAGGTGAATACACTTTCGTTCTTAAATGTCTAATATCTTAACATGAGGAATCTTAAGGGGACATCTTACGTGATATTTTTAGTAAAAATGTCATTCAAACTGTACATTTGATAGTAATAACCGTAGTTTGTAAACATTTTCGTGGCTAACAGTAGCCCCTTTGGCGCAAGAGATTTTCCAATTAGTCAAAAAGTAGGCATTAAAAAATAATGGGACATTATTACAGATTTTATGATTTCAAGAGTTTGAAATATTTTATTTTGAAATTGCCCGAAAATGGTACCCTTCTACATAGTCAATCAGTTTGTAATTTGTTACAAGAAATTTCATGTATGATGTTCTCTGATTATAATTTATAGTTAAACTAATTAGTAATAGCTTAATACACCTACAATTATACATGCCTAATACAATAAGATTTTTCTCTGTTGTATCCATTTTCAGCCGTTCTACTCAACCGATTTTCATGATTGGGATTGAGGCGTCATTTTAAATCGTATGATCCATCAAAGGGACGAATGGTAACTAAAAATAATTACCTTTAGTGTATCCCCCCTAAATTGATTTATTTCTATTTATAGGGCTCGCTTTCAAAAATACTAACCCACTTTCTTTTTAACGGTAAAAATGTGAACAGCTGATTCATCAGCTAAATCTTTTACCACAGTTAAATTGTAAACAAGGAACAATAGAGTTTACAAAAGTTATTTTAAAATGTTTTTATTAGCTCGCTTTCTTGTCCGGTACAAATTTTGCAATCAATTTTATACTAACTTCCCGATTAGCTAGAGACTTGAAACTTGAAACATAGGTCACACACAAATGGATGAAAATGCAATATTGTATCATTTAATTTTCATATTTCCCTTGGGCTACGCCCCATGGGCTTGTTTTTATTAACTCGCTTTCCTGCAAATTTTGATACTTCCCGATGAGCTAGAGGCTTGAAACTTGAAACATACAAATGGATGACCATGCAATAAATTATATTATATAATTTAATTTTCATATTTCCCTTGGGCTACGCCCAATGGGCTTGTTTTTATTAGCTCGCTTTCCTAAAAACTTTGATATCAATTTTTAACGAAGTTCCCGATGTGCTAGAGACTTCAAATTTGAAACATAGCTCAAAAATGAATGACAATGCAATATTATATCATTTAATTTTCATATTTCCCTTGGGCTATGCCCCATGTCCTTTCAATTTTCCATATATACATATATCAATTAATTTAAGTCAGCTGTAAATACTTAAATTTGACAGTTCGAAGAGCAGAGGTTAAGAGGTACAGGTTATGCTTCCACAAGAGATTCTTTATAGCCTACAAACAAACATTTCAAAATAAAGATAAACAATCTGATTGCAGATATAAAGGTGTTTGTTAATAATTTCAATTGGTATTTATTTAGTATTCTATAAAGTAAACAATAAATTAAATAGTTTGGTATATTCATAGTTAGTAGGTAGGCCATACATTCAATTTAATATATAATTATATGAAAAGAAACTCCATTAAACCTTAGATTTCCCACATGCTTGTCTTAATCTGAAATATATTTAAAACCCACACACATTAAAAACTAAAAAGTAGAAAATTATGTATAAATAAAAAACATGTTTAAAAACAAAACGTTTTTAAACGCACTAAAAAGTAGAAAATAATTTATAAATATGCGGAGGGTTTCAATACTTGTAAGATTTAAAACGAAAAACGTGGGGTGCATGCAATTGATAATAATACATTAATTCAATAGGTGAAGGTAAAAGGTAATTGTAAATTATCTATTGCATGCACCCCACGTTTTTCGTTTTAAATCTTACAAGTATTTATACCCTCTGTTTTGTTTATAAAAAGTTTTGTTTTAAAAAAGATGTTATTTATAAATAATTTTTAACTGTTTTTTTTTATAATTTTAACCTGAATGAGGTATATGTCTTTAAGGTGTAGCTAAATAAAAAAAAATTATTTATCTTAGTTTAAACAGATCCTCCATGGATTAACTATCATTATAGATCAGTTGAAGACAATTTAAGATTTAACTATTAATTCCTGAGTGAGTAAATTTCTTCCCTTTATTTATAATTTATTAAATAGTTTTAAAATTATCATAACTCACAGCCAAATAGAACATACAACTCAACAATCAACATATCATCAAAACAGAACAACATCAACCAAATAGAACAATTTTTGGATGCTAGTCGACATGTGTTTATTGGATACCACTCCCTTACAAAATACCACCAGTATCCCTGATAGGATACACTGTGTGTATCGTTAATACGAATAAAATACGAAGAGTGATCGGTTTCAACAAAATCGTGTAGTTAAAAATGAACTCGGTGGTCCTAAAGAGAACTAGCTTAGACTATTTAAACGCACGCTAAAGACTACAGATAGAGGTAGTCCTCAGTTAATTTACTTATTTATTTTTGTTAGTCAATAATTTCATTTAAGTTATGTAGTGTTTGTTTTTCTTAGCATTTTCATTGTTCATACTGAAGTTTGTTGACTTGAAATTTCCAACCGCGATCTCGAGATTTCAACGCGTTGTCGTACCATGTGACTCGGCGATGGTAATGAAACTCGCAATAAATCAATTACTCCAACAACTTAGGTTCAGGTGAGCAAGGAGGCCTAACTGAGAGGCGAGAAATAGAGACGAGAGAGACAGAGACGTGTAAGTCGGCTCTCGATGGATCGAAAGCTCTCGACTTCTCCCTTCAGCCCCCCTCTACCCCTTATCCTACCCCTAAACTCAACCCCTTTTCTCGTACCCAGATTACGATTATTATTGATACCTTACCAACCCACTTTTTGCATTCTCTCCCTAAGTTTTCTGTTCATTGTACATGGCGGTGTGAGAAATGTCAAATTTCGGTGAGGCTAGAGATTCGCGATGAACACCAACAGTAGTGTTATATGGACTATATTTCATCTGCTTGAAGTTAATTGCGTTTTTTTTATTGTTTTAAACTATAAATGTAGTTAAAATATCGTATCATATTTTAAAATATTATGAACAGCATGAGTGACAAGTTTCATGTGTTTTTATATTACTGTGGTAACAGTTCATATTTGTGAAAAAAGTCAATATTAGATCTTAAATTAATTAGGACTTTACATTAAAACTTAAGTAATAGTTATCACCCAAAAATGGTATTGATATCTTATAATTTTAATCACAGTAAATTATTATATGTAATTTGGAACAAATCTATTGACGAATCATTGTATTCAATCTGAAATTACCATTAAACGTGAAAAGTTGCGGCCATTGCAGTTTTGTCAAATGAAAATTTGCACTTTTTCCAGTTTAGACAACATTTGTCTTAAGATGTTCCTAATTTGCTGAGAAAGGGGAAGCAAAAATAAGTATTGTTCCGAGATATCACACTAGTTTTAACATCCCACACATCCTTATACATATATATGATACGCCTTATGTATATAATACGTGAAGGCGTTTTCTACGAAACACTACTCCTCCGTTAATAATGGACGGATTTTTACAAACTATCAAAATTAAGTATTTTTTGTGTAGACTCCCCCTTTCACCAATTCCTGTAATAAAAGTCCTCGGGCTTTGCCCCACAGGCCATCAATATCCCAATGTATTTCTTATGAAGAAAAAATTTTGTTTACTTAAACAGACGAATAATTCGTTTTAAGTGCATATAATACTAAAACAGCTGTTCATAGTAAACACATTATACACTCAAGAGCTTTCGTTTTCAGAGTGAGTTCGTTGTCATTTTAGTTTCGATAACTAGAGTGGAGTGAGCGTTCGTTTTCAGAGTGAGTTCGTTTTCAGTTTCGATAACTGAAGTGGAGTGATTGATTACATTATCTTTGAGAAGTCAACGGAAATTGTGACTATTATTAGTTTTGAAATAACGCCTGCAATACTTTGCAATTGCTCGAATTCGAGCAAAAGGTGCACTAGTCTTGTTTAATATGATTGCACTAACTTTAATCACATTTGTTCAAGTCTCATTGATCCTACAGTTCAAACGGTACATTTATAAAACAACTATTTAAACAAATACTCACCTTAATTTGATCCAAAACAGATCAGTAATGTGGCCCAAGACTAAATTCTTACCATGAAGATAACATTTCTTACAACTGCTAATACCGTTACCTGTAATCTTGGATACGCTATTACTATTCATACAACTGTTTTTGGTAGATGAGACAAGTTAATTATCTTAGATTTCTCACAAAACAATAAATATTTTGTAATGTAACATACATTAACGTGTAACAACGCCTGCAGTGTGTTTCTTGTCATGTAAGGGTTTTGAGGGGGATGTAGAACCTTATCAATCATAGGCTTGTGACGACAGACATATCAACCCATTTGGGACCTACCACGCCTCAAATATGCATAGCCTTTCACACCGGGTCTGTGAAACTGTTCACAGCATTTCACGTGCAGTGTTTCTTTTATTGTAGTCGCACCTCTGACATTCACTCCCATAAATTGTAGGCAGTTAAAAAAATGAACGCATTTGAATTTAGACACTAACAGAGCGTGCTGGTTTTAATTACTATTTCTGTTGAATGTACCGAGTTTTTAGCCAAAGAGCACTTATTGTTAACTAAAGCATATTTTCTTTTGCTACCATCACAATAGCAAACCATGGGGAGTGAATAAGATTTTAGACTGAACAGAATCTATTTCTGCTGATTCCTCAAAATATTTCACATAACCTTAAAGTTGTAGTTGTGTTGACTGATAGTGTGCTTTATTATTGTAGTAATAGGTTATAGTGTGGTGAAAATTGTGTTCGTGCCACGGACCTAAAGGGTTTTGCAGCTCTCGATCGCGAGGGTGCGCTCTACCTCAGCTCGGGCTTCAGTAGTTATGTTGCGCCATTGACAAGCGCCGTGAGAGGCGCTTGCAAACGTTCACGGCAACTGCCTTTGTAAACTACTCATACATGGTAGTAAAAAACAATGGATGGAATTTTACAGAACAAATAACAATCTATGCGA